ACTAATTGTGAAAGTTAAAAAGTTTTTAGCACATAAAATCAGTGTTTGCCAATGTCTAGAAGTTATCGCAGGGATCCACTGCTCATGGCGGTGTGTTGTTTTGTACACATTTTAGAACAAAGTTAGAAGTTCAATCAAAGTGAGACTGTCAATCAAGTGACACTGACAATTCCACTAATTATAGCGGTATTTTGAATAGCAATGTGCCTTATGTATAATAATTAGAAATTTTTAATTTAAGATTTCTTTTTAGGAATGCCCATAAAATTATTCGTTAAAATTATATAAACCCTATATATAAATATATATACCCTGACAGGAGGAGAGAAATTTGTCATCAAGCAAAAACGCCTCTTTACAAAATGCAATTAATGTTCTTGCCCAGTGCTAGACAATTCGTCTAATTTAAACTCCATTGAAAACTGCTGTGTAATTGTAAAAAGCAAAAGACTCTTAACAAGACCCAACTTTACGAGCATATTTGAGTAAAACTATAGTTAAAACCGGTTGTTGTGAGTTTCTTGTTGCCTCAATACCGTCAAAAATAGAGGCTGTTCTATAAGTTAAAAGAACCAATACAAAGTACTAATAAATATTTTATATGTGACTTTTTTATTCTTTTATTTTTACGAATGTTTTTTTTTAAATCAAAAGGGGCACTATACGGCACCAAAACGTTTTTTTTTTATCTAATGTTTTAACGTTAAAACATTTGATTATTTGGTTGACTTGGTTTAGTTCGCCACTTAAAAATGTTTACTATGTACAACAATATAAAAAAGTATTCGATTGGCTAGAGCGTAGAAGAAGGCATCAATAAGCCTTATCACCGAGCCCCAACAGTAACGGTAACAGTCTAAATACCCGCATCATAAAAAAAAAATTTAGATGATGTTAAAAAACAAAAAAAGTAAAGAGGAAAAAAAAAGGAAATAACTAAAATATAGTATTAAAAATGACAAAATTTTTGTTTTAAGTTATAAACTAAACGTAATTTCATATTAAAATAATGAAATTTGTGTTGCAATGCCACAAAATATATTAAAGTAAGTTATGGTTAACTTCAAAAATAAACATTTTCAATGAAAGTTGGAGACTATTCTTTGCTTTATACATCATTATTCTTTATTTTTATACAGAAATTGTGATTTCGAAAAGATTTTTTTGAGTTTACGTAGAAGTGGCTCAAAAAGCAATGTAAGTTTGCTCCAAATACAATCCTACATGCATTTTTTTGTTTAGTATAAATTTTCTTTAACTTAGCGTAGTTGGTGCTTGCTCATACAATCTTGTTGTAAGTTAAACAGCTATATGTAAAGGAAAAATATAAGCTTTTTAAAGACCTAATCTCTAAAAAATTTTTTAGTTATTTTTAGACTCTAGCCCATAAAAAGGCCTCCAAAAGCAAAATTAGTCCCGGGCCCCAAGAAGTCATAATCCGCCACTGTTGTCTATTAACATTTATATCATTAATTTTAAGATTTGGCGTTATTGAAGAAGGTTTTCTGTTTTTTAAGTTTGTGTTATAGGATAAATTTAGTTTTGTTATCTAAGGGAAAGTTTATTACAAATAAAGCATTCGTTTACTTTATTTACTTCTTCATTAACAATTTTAAAGACGGTTTTAAAATCTCTATAAGAATAAAACAATAAATGAAATAACGTTTGACGTAAGAGATTGATCATTTATAACGGTCCTAAGATTGAGCATTGAAAAACTCCACAAGTTATTATACTTTTTGTCTTTTTAACATTTACCCATTGAATGTATTTCTGTCTGTTTGATAAGCATTCTTTACCCATACTAAAATATTGTTTTTTATTCCAAAATATTCAAGTTTTTTTTTTAAATGACATATTTGACTGTATCAAAGGTTTTAGATAGATCAATAAACAAAGGTTTTAGATCAATATACAAATATTTTAGATCAATATACAAAGGTTTTAGATCAACAAAGACTCCTAGTGTAAAATAGTTACATGAGCTAACTCGGTCAAAATGATCATTTGAATGATTTTTTTTAAAAGCCAAACTGCTTGTTATATATTTTATTTACTGTTAAGTATCTGTTTGGTCTATAATACATTATACGTTTGAGTAACTTAGAAAAGCATGTAAAATATATTGATATTGGTCTGTAATTTGAAGAATCCGTATCATCACCAGACTTAAAAATAGGCATGACCCGAGTCATTTTTCTTTTATAAAACTGTACCAGATCAAAGAGAAAGATTAAACATGTGATGTAAAGATATTTCCATAATATGAAAAACTGATTTTTAGCAACATTTATCCTAATATTTTTAAAATTTACATTTGTGCTGTTTTTAAGATTATCTAGAGCAGATCGCAACTCTTTAATATTTTGTTTAATTATTTACTTAATTAACTTTATATTGTTATATATATTCATTTAACATAAATTTTTTTTCTTTTACAAGTTTACTTATATTTTTTGATCGAATTATGCATGATAAAACAACTTTAGATGAAACCACGGTAAAGCTCAGTGTTTGCAAAATAGTTACCATGTTGTAGTCTGCAAATCGCTGTGTACATTTTACATACGAACGTAAAATTCCGAACCTAAACTGTTTGAGAAAGCATATACACGGCAACTTAAACAAACGTTGTTTGTTTAAGTAGTTACGTTTTATTGTATTTAACTAAGTGTGTTGTTATTTAATCAATTTCTGGAATTTTTAAGTATATATGATTTATGAAGTATTTTATAACTAGAATTTTACGTGTTATTTTTAATGCATCAGATATTTTTCAAATATATTTGTAATCAAATTGTTTTAATTTCTATATTAAACATTCTTATTTCACAATTAGTATATTTTCGTAACAAATCTATCATTTTTAATGTAAACTTAAAGTTCATATATATATATGAACCTATATATACATAATTAGAAAAATCTCTGTTCCAATTTAGTCTCTAAAACATTTTATTTAGTTTATTTAGTTTTTGTTATGATTGGTTTTTTGTTTATACGTTCAGTTGCATTCTTTACCTTCCTTTATTCTTGCAGTAATTGTAGTTTTACAAAAAATTTAAATTGTGTGATTCCATTGATATCCAATTGTTTTTTCACTACTCACCTGTGATTCCATGTTTACTGATATCCGATTGTTTTTTCACTTCTTTACTGCAATCATTACTCTTTAAATTTCCCGATTCTGTCTTCTTGTGAATTAAATTTTCAGACAAAAAAGTAAATGACCAATCTGAATGAACTTTACTTATTGTTCTATTCTTAGCCATTGAAATGCTTTTTAAAAAATTTTGTAAAATGATAAGTTTAAATTTAAAGTGATAGTTTCTATCAACTAAATTTATTTTCAATACCTAAATTGTTTTTTTGTTTTTGTTTTTTTTTATTGAGTTGAGAATTTTTTAGTACTTATTCTATTTAATATATGAATTTACTATTATTTTTTTTGTGCAACATAGTTTTAAGACAAAATGAATTTAATTTTTTTCATTTTTAAAATAGAGATAATTTAGCCATACAATTAATAATAATAAGATAAGATAGTTAAAAAATAATTCAAAAAAATTAATTATATATTGTATAATCGAAAATGAGTTGCATAAAAGTTTAATCAAGTTAAAGTTTACAACATGAAAAATTATAAAAAAACAAACACAAATTTAATAATTAAAGTGTCCTTCTTTGACTTGATAGCAAAGAACTCATGTCTGTGTCCTCCTTTGACTTGATAGCAAATAAACTCATCTCTGCATTGATTTAACCAATTTCATGCATATCTCATGTGGCAATTTTACCCAATGCTCATTTAGAAGTTGCTTCAAATAATTAGTTGATTGAATTTGATGGTTTACCAATGATTGACACTCACAATGAGTGTTGATCCATGACCTAATATTTTCTATTGGGTGATCTGGTGATTTAGGGCACCAAGGCAGCAAATTGATCTTCTTTGTGTTAAACCACTGTGTTACTGGAGCCCCATCTTGCTAGAAGATGTATTGCTTGCTTCTGCCATACAATTGCTTTGTCAATGGAATCAAATGTGTTTCAAATGTGTTTTTTGGGTATATTGGTTGATGCAGCCATTATACAGCTCACAAATACCAAGGCCCTTGTGGAAAAAACATCTCAACATGCCTACCAACTCTTCACCGCCTTGTTGTTATACTTGTAAATAGCGCTCACAATATTCCTCATTTGTAAATCTTTCAACGTATATTCTGATTGACAAGATAGGCTTTCTTATTGCAATGTAAGACCCAATACCTTTTTTTGTTAACGTTCTTTTAATGAGTTATCTGCTTACATTTTGATTAGAAAAGGATTGATTGTATATTCGAACCACTTTTTTGATAGGATTTTTTTTACTGGTTTTGAATATGCTACTTTTGTTGCAGTCACTTCCTACAACAAGGCATGTCAACAACATTAACTGTCAGCTACAAGGTTTTCACCCTTTTTCGCACGCAAAATACAATTTACTTATTTTAACATTGTTATGACTCTTTGATTTGACCAGTCTAATAATTTGCCTTTTGATTCTCTCTGAAACTGTTTTTGCAAGCATTGAAATTCAAAAATATTGCAGTTATTCTTTAGATAAATATTTTTTCATTTCATTATTTAAACTAGTAATAAATTATAATAATTAGTTATGAAGTGTGAAAAATGTATAACTAATTAATTTAAATAAATTTTTATGTCATCAGTAAAATACATCTTATAATGTTTAATTACTCAATTAGACAATTAAATTGTCTTATGTTAAATTAGTTTTAGAGAAGTGTAGTATGTGTGAATATTTTTTATGTCTTTTTTATCAATACAAACATAAAATTAAAAAAAGCATAAACTTAAAATCTATATCTGTTAAATGTTAATGTTAGAAAAAATATTCGATTAAACCTTTGTACATAACTATAAATGAAATGATTATATATTTTTATCAAAACACATATTGATTTTGTGTATGATTTTTTGGATTATTATATTTTTGT